CAGGAGACACTGTAATGTCAAAAATGATGGCATCGCTGAATGGTTAAAAAGATGAGGCTGGATTTTAATTGGGAAGGGATCTTCGTGTCTAGGATTGATTACTTTATGGGTTGGATTTAAAAAAGAAAAAAAAATGTTGAGAAATCTTTTTTTGTATTCCCCAAATAATGCTGGTGGGCTGGGCACAATGGAGACAAAACTTTATGGCTTTAAGGTATCCACAACTGTAGAAGTGCTGAGGGTCCTCAGAAGTCAATACTGCTGCGAACCCAGTTCCCTTGGGCTCTGTCTGTTGATCCACCGAGGTTTATAATCAGTTGGGGAACCAAGGCAGCCCACCCAAAAGAACCACAGCCCTAAGCAGTAGCCAGGTCAAAGGGCCCCAGGACACCTCCCTGCACTCAGCCTTTGCATGGGAGGCATGGACAGCGCATGCACCGAGACACGGGTCATGCACGAGGATGACGGCTTTGAACAAAAACACAGGCTTGGACAACGGACAATGCTCCAAACAGGACACAGGTGTGCACAGTGTTTTCGGGTAACACGAGACATTTTGATTTCCTTCTTGGTGCCCAGTTTAATTTAAAGCTTTGGTCTCGAAAGAGTCCTTTTCCAGGTTCATGGAGACAGTCTTGGATAGGCATGACGATGGATGAGAGAGACAGTGATGAGAAGAATGTGATGGATGCAGAGAGAGCTCAGGATGGGGTGGGTCTCATCTGCCTGGCCTCGCGCTCTTGCCTCAGCTCAGGGGAGGCTGCCACCCTCGGGGACATCCTCCAGTCTGGCCTTCCAGGACCTACCCTCCACCGCCCCACACCGCAGAGGGCAGCCTGCACTGAGGTCTGCCCAGGCCGACCGGTCCTGCCACCCCACGGGGCTCTCCTGGGGCTCTCCACGCTAGGGTGGGATGAAGGGAACAAGGCTGGCTGGGTCTCCCAGGCTGCGCAGCGTGGAGAGCGCAAAACTCAGGAGCCCAAATCAAGCAAGAACGTAATGGCTTAGTCTAAGTTCCTATCTGTCACCAGTGACAATGGATAATCAAGCTAAATGAAAAATAAACACCACGTGTTTTGCTACATAATCCAGTGGTGAGAGTAAGCACACCGTGCAAAACAGCCTTGGGGATGCGGCGGCCCTGCCCTAACACTGGCCTCAGGCCCGGCGCCTACTGTAAGGTCTCCGCGGGCGTCTGACCCACCTGCGCCTCTCACATCTTGAACCTCCTGTTAACAAGAACAGAGGGAGACACCATTAAGGCGGGTTCCGCGGCGCCAGGACGCTGCACTCGGCTTACTTCCCAGGGGCCACCATGCGTCCCCCTGCAGAGGCCCCAACAGAGGTGGGCAGTGAGGCAGACAGCAGGGGATGGGGGGGAGGCGGGATGCAGAGAGGACAGACCGACACAGCGAGCGAGCAGGAGTATGGTGGACGCAGGACAGCACAGAGCAGCAGGGCACGCTTCCCTCCTTCCCCACAGGGATTCGCGCCCAGGTCCCGCGCGGGGGCCTTGGCGCCCCCGAGGAGGGGGGAGACACTTCCCTTCCCATGGCTTCCATCAAGTCCCCACACTGGGGCTGGGCTTAGGCAGGCCCGCAGGAGGAAGGCGCATTGTGCTGGCCCCTGACCGGGCACCTGTCACCTGGCGGCTTCGACCTACCACAGAATCCAGCTCAGGCTCTTCCTCTTCCACAGCGACCCTGTCTTCAGCGGGTGTAGCCTCCGCCCTCATGAGCCCTGAGCCACCGGTCAGACACAGCGAGGCCCGGGCCCAGAGTCCCATAAAGAGCAGGCGGGCAGGCCTGCATTCACAGTGTGGGCCCACTCTCAGCCCCTGAAGCCCCAGCTCTCCCAGGAGTTGGGTGGGAAGGAGGTGGTGTCCCCTGGGCACTGCAGAAGGCATTTTGTCACCTTAGGGCAGCGTTGGCTTGGCTCCCTGTTGCTAAACAGCAAATAGCTCTCCATTCTGCCCCAAGATGGACCTGCCAGCCCTCCGGAGGCACAGAGCTTTGCTGTTCATGCCAGAAAATGAAGGAGACCCTGACTCTCTGGGGTGCTTTTGTAAGAGTAGGACTACCTCAGCCGAGGTCCCACAGACCAGACCACCGCTGGCTTCCACAGGAAGGACTGCAGCCCAGACAGCCCAGCCAACAGCCACATGCCTGAAAGGGAGATGGGGCAGGACCATGAGTCTCTGGCCTGCTATCCCCAGTGGTGACAAGTGGGCACAGGCTGGGAGAGTGGTCCAGATAAAAGGGACGGCAGCAGGAGAAGGATCTTTAGCTGCAGCGCCCTTGTGGGCCGCTTCTCCAATGAGGAAAATGAATGGCTATAATCAAAGTGCGCACACTGAAGTAGCAGGGGGACACAGCCCTCTGGGACACAGGTGTGTCTGACACAGGGACCCTGATGGGTTTTCTTCTCCTGAAATCCATTTACTCCATCCTCCAATCACTTCATCTTTCTGCATCCATTTATTGAAGTTATGACCAGGGGTATGGGGTGCAGGGTGGGTATATGTGGCATGGGGGAGAAGGGTGGAGAAATTCAAGGTGTCCTTTTTTCAAAGTACTACTGAAATCAGGGCCTTGCTCTCCCATGTGGCCCCCATTCTTCCAGTCCAAATTAGAGATACTTGCAAAAAAAATCTCAGTCATAAGTCTGCAGGGGGTGAGGGAGAACGGGGTTGAGGAAAGTTCTAGAACTTAAACCATATTCAGTTTAGGCAGATATTTCCCATGAGTGAGGACTGAGGCAGCTGGTGCCCTGGAGCGGGTTTGCACACCATCATGGAGACCCTCCCAGCAGAACAGGCTAGGAGTCCCCAGGGCTTCAGGCCCTACACGCAGTTCCTGAACACATCTGTCCTCCACATGGGGGACCTGTTTAAAGACTTTAAAGTGAACTGGCCAGAGAGGAGGTGCCCTGAGAAGCGTTTCCACATCTGCTCTCTGGCAATGGGGTGTTCCCTGCTGTTCACCCCACGTAGTCTGCAGGAACCCACCCAGGCTCAGAGGTAAAGCTGCTCACTCAGCCCAGGGAGGAGGCGCTAGATAAGTCCCTTCCCAGGCGGCAGGTGGTGGCAGGCCAGGCAACAGGTACTTGGGAAAAAGCTAGGGTGGGGCTAGGGCAAGTCAGTTATCCCCTGCCCTGAGAAGGTGGCACGGCTGTGCAGAATGAGAAGGCATAAGGCACATGCCTTTTCCTGGCGAGGTACCTCTGCTGGACTAGTGGGCTGCTCTGTGCACTGGCCAGACGGCCACACCCTGGTCTCCATGGGAATGCAGACTGCAAGGGTGTGCAGCTGTGTGAGCTGCTGAATGGGCACGGGCCTTCTACGAGAGGGAGTGCAGAGCTGGCTTGAGGCTCGGAAGCCAGGGCCATCCTAGATACAGTCCTGAGCACGCAGGCTCCGCGCTACCGACCCAGCCTCTGCACAACTACTTCTTCATAACTTAGACCAAGAAGGGCCTTATAAAGCACATAAATACAGGAGCCGGTGTGGCCACCAGGGCAGCAAAGCACTGCTCGCCAGGGGAGTCCAAGCCCCTGCCCAGTCTGCGGGGGTCTGCCCTGGAGGAGGTTAGAGCGAGTGGACAAAGCGTCGGGAGCAGAGTGCACTGCAGTCGTCTCGAGGTGGTGGATAACTAGTTTTTCCTTTTCTGGGCAGCCTTTCTCTTCTTCTGTCGCTTCTTTTTTCCTATCTTTTCTTTTTTCCCCACTTTTTCTTCTCTGCGCCCCCTTAGATAAAATTAGTAGAACCATTAATGATGTTGCAATAAACAAGAGTTTGTCTCAGTCTGCACAATAGTTAATGCTGGCCCAAGTAGCACTTTCACTCTGTCTTCAGTCTCAGGCCTGGAGCGCCCCTGGGCAAGGTCCCTGTTCACCAGTAACTCATTAAAATAAATTAGATATTTTCCTCTGATTCAAACAAATGTTAAACGGGCTTCCATAAGGCCTGTGAACTGGTTGCAGAGAATGCCCATTTGCCAACCTGACCCTGGTTCCTCCTACCACCTGAGGCTCCCGTTGGGAACGGGATCCACATCTCAGAGGGTCCAGGAGGCACGCCCAGACCCAGAGTCCTCTATCTCACACCACCCTGCCCTGTTCTCATCAGACTTCCTTCCTTCTCAATGCAGAGTTGGACTCTTGCTTTCTCTAAAACATCCCTGCATTTCAAATCGAACAACACTTTGGAAGTTGGAGGCCCCAGGTTCTGAAGGCCATCCAGGAAAGGAGAAAGAAGGCAGCCCGATCCCACCTTCTTCTTTCTGGATGGCTGAGAACACTGCTTAGGAGTGACTGGGATTGTTCTGGAGAGCAAGAGAGAGCTGGTTAGCAGAATTTTATTAGAGCAACTGGCTCGTGACTGTCACATTAAAATTATTCAAGCTGAATGGTATTTAATGATTTATGGGGTAAGGCCACCTGTTCCTGTGAAAGCTTGATATTAACCATGGCCTGGAGTAATGGGATTTTTACATGGGAAATGTGAAAGCTTGATATTACTAGGGTTGGGTCTCTGGAGATTACATGGGGATGTTAGGAGAACCGAGGAGGAGGAGGAGGGAGGGGAAGAGGAATTAGTCAAATATTATTCTTCAGAAAACTAGCACTGCTACTTCCATCTGGTTAAAAAAAAAAAAAAAAGACACAAAAACTGAGCTGCAGATCTAATCTGCTCATGAGAAAAGCCCATGGAGGAGGAGGGAGGGGAAGAGGAATTAGTCAAATATTATTCTTCAGAAAACTAGCACTGCTACTTCCATCTGGTTAAAAAAAAAAAAAGACACAAAAACTGAGCTGCAGATCTAATCTGCTCATGAGAAAAGCCCATGCACTGTCACTCAGGCAGGGACTCTGCAGGAAGGGATCTAAGGCACCTGACCAGCAGACAGGCTTATTTTTATAAACTTCAGAAATGTATTTGAGCTCCATCTCTAACAACTAGTGAATTTTATTTCTGATAAATAAATTCCCACATACAGTAGGAGGTTTATACCATGAAACAATTAGCATTTTATTGCTAGTGCATATAATGTCACATTTGATACAATCTTAGTACAAGTGAAAAAATACATTGTGGCTAACATTGAAAAGCTGCAATCACATTTATATATCATATATATTTCTTTACAAATTGCCAGTAGTTTAAGATAATAGAGAAATGTAACCTACTGACATTCATATGGCTCCACTTCAAATATATGAATTGCTCGACTATAAATATATTCTGAAATACATTTGTTTTCTAAAGAAACGTAAAAAAAATGTGCACGAAAATATATATATAAAAAAATGCCTTGCAAAGTTAGAAATACCACCAGGACCATCTGTGGATCACATTTATGCATGGAAATCTTCATCTTGCCAAAATTTCTGATTGGAACCCGAAACCCTGTTGTGGCTTCAGGAGGAGGAGTTAGTGGCAAGATGATGGTTTATTCATTTATTTTTTCACTTCTGGTTTCAGAAACCTCAGAGTTTGTAGAGCTTCCATGGCCATGTAGAGCTTTCATAAGCTTCAGAGGCAATCACGGAAACCAAATTCTTCAAAGCAAGCTCTCAGATTTAAAATTACATCTGATTCTGCAAACTCTTGTCTTTTGTGGGAAGTGGGAGCTGATCTCACATTCCCCAGGAGAGAGCCGGCTCCATTCTGGAGGAGGCCAAAGACGGATCTCACAGAGGGCCCCAGCTGAGGGGACGGCAAAGGGAGGAGAGGGGTGCAGGGCGGGAGCCCTGGTGAGCACCCTCCTCCCTGCTGGTGTGGCATTGATCAGGCTACAGAAATGAGGGGCAGAAGCAAGATGAAGCATGCTCTTGGAGGCACGGGGAGGGTTGGCATGGCCGGGAGAGGATCTCTGAGCACAGTTCCTGGTGACAGTGGCTTCTACATGGAGCCCACAGATCTAATCACTGCACTTGAAAGGGGGGGTGAAGGCAGTGGCAGCTGCCTAGCACTCATCAGTGTCTGAGAGCCACACAGAGCAGTCATTCCAGCAGAAGCACCCTCTGCAGTCTCTCCAGCCTCAGTGTCTGGAGGAGGGACACTTTTTTGAGCTCCCTGCTAAGCCATCACCCAACTGTGCCCAGACTCCCCAGGGGAGAAGAGGAGAAGCTCCAAAACAAACCAAATACAGATCTTGAAGTAATCACTGATTTAAAAAATGATCATGAGAATGATGATGATGATGGTGATGATGATGATGAGGGAACTGACTAGTGGAAAATGCTGTTGGGATAATACAATTTCTTAGGAAAACCCCAGTTATAAAAGCCCCAATGTGCAAGGGTACGGGACATGGACGGATACAAGCTGCAATATCGTACCATATGCTAAAATGCGGTGTCTATATGCTGGCAAACCTCAGGCCCGATCCCAGATCAATGTGCCACCCCACAGACACCCCCAGCCTCATGATCCAGGCCTTCCTCCCCCACACTTTTGCCCTTTCATCTGTCATAATGTTTAGCTTTCCTCAAGTGGATCTAGTGGAAAGTCCTTTCTGGCTGTTGTGCTTACTTGTTTAAAAATTTCTCCAGGTGTTCCTGAACCCACTTCAACTTCGTGTCAATGCACACTTGTCTGTTGTTGTTCTTCAGCCTTGCCCTGCCAAGACAGAAGAGGTGACAGTGCACCGCTGAGTGGGGGCCGCTGCTGCCATCCGCGCACCCACTCCCTGCTGCCTGGCTAGGACCCCCGCTGGGGCCAGGTGCTCCCCTGCACAGGCTGGGGCTCAAGAGCTGCTCAGAGTGTGCTGGGGAGGACACAATGGCACTGAGGCACGTTCCACTGCAGAGATATGACACGTGCAAAAAGTCTCTACAAGGACATCCAGGGAGAATTTGCACAGGGAACATCTGAGGTGGTCCTTGAAGGGTGGGTAGGAGCTTGGCAAGTGAATGAGGGGAAAGGAAAAACAAGAGCAAGGACACCCAAGAGGACAGGGTGCATAGAGGATGTGGAGGAAGGGTGGGGGACAGTATGCTCAAGAAGCCTGTGGCCAGATGCAAGGAAGACTGGAGGGTGACAAAAACAGATTTTTGTTTTGATGGATCATCTTGATGGAACATGCTAAGACTTAAGGACAGACTTAAGAGGAAGCTTGGAATAAGCTTGGAGGCCAGAGATGTACAAGAAGTTACTGCAATAGTGAGGTGGGGTGACAACACTGCAGTTGGGGGAGGGACAGTTCAGGTGGTTTGCCAGAAAATGGTTTCCAGGGAGATTTTTACAGGGTTACTGAATATTCCACAGTCTCATTCATTTTTAAGAAGCTCAGATGGAACCTTCCTCCCACTTCTTACCCCCACGCACAGCCTCCCTTCATGAGACCTGAAAAGGACCCGGACTCCTGAGGAGGACCTGGATTTATCTCTCTGGACCCCTTTCCATAAAGCCCTGGGTGCTAGGTAATCCCACGCAGCTCAAAGACATCCCTGGCTAGCCACTTAAGGATCTACAAGGAAAACTAAAACCCAGCCTGGTGGCTCATGGACACCCACGGGAGTCTGCATGCAGCCTGCCCACTTAGTGAAGGAGGTGTGCAGAGGAGGGGTGTGGCTTGGAGCAGGGCACATCAGAATGTGAATCTGGGTGCTGCCATTTATTAATTTAGTATTTGCCCAGACCCGAGAATTGTACTAGGCATTTTCAACTTCAAGGTGCATTTGCCGGCAAGCGAACCAGTGTAACCTGTGCTGTTAAGCAGGTCCACGCAAGCTACCTTAAATATCTTTAAAATACCCCTCACAAGAGATATAGTATTTTATTATTGGCAAAGTAGTAAAAAAAAACACTCATTTTCTAGGGCCATAAAACATATTATAAATGACAAACACTTTCAAGGCAGCAAAGGCCAGGAAAAAAAAAAAAAAGACAAAGAAACCTAATACACTTGGTGTTGGGTGAAAAAGTCTTCAGAAAGTTCCAGCGTTTTTTCCAACTGTTGTGCCCCACTCCATTTTGAGCACTAGGACTTTTGAGCAAGCAAATCCTCCCCAGACAACTCTGCCCTCACCTCCTAGACATGGGGGTGGGGGAGGGGCAAGCAATGGACTGTCCAGCTTTCTTCCTGCACCTCTCCCAGCTCCTGCACCCCAGCAGAGAGTGCGTTGTGCCTCCTGTATGTGTGACTTTGGCTTTCTTTTTTTTCAAATGAATGACATCACATGTTAGCAGCTGCCATTAACACCACACAAAAGCAAAAACTTGTGCATTCTACTTGAGAAAATGCAGTTAAGTCAGCTTAAAATTGTGAGGTTTCACCAAATGGTTAAAGACGACTTCAACTGAATTTGGGTCTGGTAAGTTTTTGCCAAGTGAAAAAGGGTTAATTTAGAGCACCAGAGCCCTAAAACCTGCAGGACAGATACAACTGTTTCTAGCAAAGGGCTGGCTAACTTTCTGGACTTCAGGTGAAACCTTGGTGAAGCCCCTGCTTTCTCAGGTCCAGAGGCGTCCAGCTGTGCTGTGCTGAATGAAGGGAGGAAGCTTGGAAAGAAAATACAAGGACCACTATGAGCACAGCAGGGGGCCAAGGGCAAGAGTGACTTTTGAAACTCATGCCTGGTAGCATACTCAAAGTCCTCAAGGTAATAACAGCTGCGGCTAATTAAGCCAAGTTCAAGGCTGGGCACTTGGAAGGTGTCGTTTCTATGCCTGTAACAAGACTGGGAGTCAGATGGGACTGTGCCCATTAGTGCAACATCCCTGGAGGAGGATGTTCAAGACTTACACGATCTGAAGGGCGCAGTTCGGAGTGTTGAGGATTTTGAGATGCTTGACGTTGGCTCTGGCAACATGGCTCTCGAAGAATCGGCATGGACATCTGTAACTTAGGCTGACAGGTTTCCCTAGAATAGGTAATGAGAACAAGGCAACTCGTTACCCTACCAGGCCTTGGGAAACAGATGTGTCTGGGTCTGCAGCCAAGAGATAAGAGCGATGGTGGATTAGGGATCCAGAGCAGTGGGATCGACAGGATGAGCTACAGGTTATGGGTGCATTCTGAGAAAGGCCACCTCCTGGGGCAGCACAGTGAGTTCTGGTTGGATTCGGGCTCAGCTTCTGCAGGGCAAGAGGACAAAAAAGCCTGGGGAGACCTGGACCCTAGGAGGGATCCAGAGCAGTGGGATCGACAGGATGAGCTACAGGTTATGGGTGCATTCTGAGAAAGGCCACCTCCTGGGGCAGCACAGTGAGTTCTGGTTGGATTTGGGCTCAGCTTCTGCAGGGCAAGAGGACAAAAAAGCCTGGGGAGACCTGGACCCTAGGAGGGTGGGGGGATTAAATCAGAAGCCACATGCTCAGGTGTCTCAAGATAAAGTTAGTAAAACTACAGGAAATAATGCTTTCAGTCCAAGGTACTGAGATTCCCAGGTTTTTTTTTTTGCAAAATAAATTCCTCCAGGAATTGAGAACTGAGAAAGACCTCTCTAGTCAGGGAAGGGGGAGGGGAAAGAAGGAGGCTCCAGGCTCCCCCCTCCCCTGGCAAAGGCCTCCAGAGGGCACCACTGCAGCTCTGGGCAGTGCTGCCCTCCCCCACCAGCAGGCTTCCCTCCTCACCTCCACCTTAAGCCCTGGAAATCACAAAAGAATACGTGGGAGTCCCCAGAGGCCAGGCAAAGGGCCCACCTTCTCCCCAGCACTTCCCCAAAAGCTTGGAGATTAGTGAGGATGGAGTTAATGTGGCTTTCATCGCCCAGGCAGGGATGCTGCAGCCTCCTGGATTGTATTACTATCTTTGTTTGCCAGTTCACCAATTTGCAAAATGCCATAATTGACACTCATTAGTGTAAATTAGTAGGGGCTCCCAAACCCACTGCTCATCCTTTAAGTCTAGAATTGCAAGCCCTAGGGGGCTAGGATTTTTTTTTTGTTTGTTTGGTTTTTTTCCCCTGTAGGTGTTATCCAAGCCCCACTTAATATCCCAAATTATTTGAATTTGTGGACCTTTGCATCAGGGATTAAATGTATGTCTGAGAATATTTAGTCCAGAGTTTTGTTTTTTTTTTAAGTTTGCCTTTTTACAGATTTTTGAGAGGGCTCTGGGTGGTTCTGAAGTTCTGCATCTTCGGGAAAGCATGCTGGGGAAGTCAGAGGAAATCTTGTGAGTGAGGGGCTTAATTTATTTTTTTCTCTACAGGCTGCATTCAGTTAAGGAACAGTGGGCTTTGGGACAGCACTGTATTTAGCCAACAAGTCAGGGGAAAAGAAGATCCCCCACAACTCTCCCCATCAAACACACAGGAGGAGGAAGCTTGGCGTCTAGAGCTCAGTGACTCACTGCACAGATCTCGCAGCAGCCCTCATGTACACCTGATCTCACTCCAGCACAGGGTCTCTGCAAGGGAAGTCAGTATTGCCCTGTCACCATATCACCTAGAAAAGGGACACAAGGGCTGGGGGCCTGGCAGCCTGGGTAACACAATGGAGGAACCAAAGCCTTCCCTCTGAGGGTTGCACCTCTGTGTTTCCCTGGATTTCTCTGGGCTCCTCCTGAGGTCTGAGCTGAGGGTGGCAGGGGGCAGGAGAACTGAAGCTGTGTGGTTCGTGGTGAGGCAGGAAGAGCTCTACCCCAGAGCTCCAGTGAGCTTGAAGGTGCTCAGTACAAGTGGGGTGGGAGGGGGCTGCTATTCTCCTGCATCCCTGAGAAGCTGTTCTGCTACTAACCAAGCAGTGGAGATCAAGCCAGAAATCACAGACCCTTCAGAGCTCAGAACATAGGCTTTCTCTCTTTTCTCTTCCCCAACACGCCCTGGGATTATCCATTTCCTTCAAAGACAATTGCTATTTCTATTCCCAGGACCCGGTAGCCTACCTGTCCCAAGGGAATTTCAACAGGTTTTTTTAAAGTGACAGAGCCCCCAGTGCTCTGTCCACCTCGTGTGCTTACCTCCAGCTTTTTGTCAGTATTACTAACTTTTCCCGCTGTTTGGATGGAGCTCTGTGTACAAGCAAGAGTCCTGACTGGCTCAGATTTGGGACCTCATAAGCCTGGCTCCTTGAGCAGTTTCCTGAGCCTTCCACTCTGATGCAGCCAAGAGCCCCTAAAAGCAGCCCTGGAATGAGGCCCACTGTGGGTTTAACCCTGGGCACCCACCAGCCCAGCTGCTTGACCCAGGTCAGCCAATGGGGGGAGGGCAGGAGCCCAGCGACAGCTAGGGGACTAAGTGTGGGGCCAGAGGGCACATAGGCGCCAGGAGGAAAATAAATGCATTCTGATGATATATGCACGGAGAACCAGACCTGCCTGGAGCCGGGGACCTTGATCTGGCTACTAGGCTGCCAAGAGGCAGCCCTGAGGGTTAAGCAACCCAACATTCCCCAGGGTCAGAAGGAGTAGTGGACGAGGCACCCCACTTTCTCTGTGCTCCCCCCAGGTGAGCTGCACCTAGGACTCAAGACCTGGTTCTCTGCATTCTAGTCCCTTCCACAGCTCCTCAGGGGAGGGAGCTGCACCATTTCCCAGAGACATGTACTATGACACCTCCACCCTCACCAGACCACTCAATTATTAACCCCCAAGCCAGAGTGCCACATGCCCGGGCGTCAGTGTGGTGCCCCACGCCCAGCGGGACATCAGCCTCCAATACTTTACAGCAAGAAGAAAAATTCTAAATTGCAGTCAATCTGGACCCTCTGCAGCTCTGACCGGAAACTTGCTATGACTTTGGAGAGCACTTTCCAGGCAGTCAGCCGCGACCGTGGCCAGCCCAGGCTCTCGCGCCGGTCCCGCCACGCGCTCCTCTGGCGTCCGGTCCAGTGCCAGCGAGGACGCGGCGGTCCGCTCTGCACCGACCCAGCCAAGCGCTCTGGACGCGCTGGGACTCAGGCCGCAGCTGCACCAGGAGCACTCAAGAATGTCCTTCGACCCTTTGTAAGAAACTTCGTAGCCAGGGAAGGGAAGCGGTCTGACTGACGTGGTTTTGTTTTGTGTTCAGAGGCAACAGTTTATTTTGGTTTGCAGCAGCGGCGTCCCGTGACTGTGCTGCGAGTTTTCTCTTCAGCATAAAAAAGCCCTCTCCTAGTGAAACGGGACACCACGTTCCAAGGGGCCCAAGGCCTTGTAGCTCTCATTCCGCGGCAGCGCGAAAGCGCTCGGCCGGCCGGTGACAAAGGCGCCTGGCTGCAGGTGTGTTTGGGGGGCTGGGGAGGGAGCACAGGCCCGGACGGCCCCTGGGCCTCTCTCCCGTGACCCCGGGAAGAGGCAGGGAGGCCGTGGCTGGACGCGTGCCCGGGTCCGCGTCGCTGCGGATCGCGGGGCTGTGCAGAAGCGCGGCCGGCCCGTGGCATAAGCCCGACAGCTGCGCCACGCGGCCCGCCCACCCTTGGCCCTGAGCCCCGCCATGGTGCGGGGAGAGGACCTGCTTGGCGTGGAGGGGACGCCGCGCAGCTGCACCCATGTCGCGGGCAGAAGACGGGCTTCGCAAAGCCCTCCCTCTCACTTGCGGCGCCAGATCGCATCTCCAGCACTGTACGCAGCGGGACCTCGGAGCCCATTCGCTGGAAACCGAGCCCGGCGCGGGAAGCCGCTAGCTGGGGGGCGGTGGGCGGGCCGCAGGCCGGGG